ATGAGTACCTTCTCAGACAATCTAGTGCCGCGTGGATTCTCAAGTCTCGGGCTCGCAATTGACATCGAGCGCGAATTCAGCCGTGGCTTACTGTCCACGTATATGCCCGCCGCCTGCTTGAGACGTGGACAGTAACGTATGGCCCGGAATGGGACTGGCTTCACGTCTCAAGTCTGTTATCGTAACACGATTGACGGAAGAGGGATTCGAACCCTCGACATGCGAATTATGATTTCGCTGTTCTAACCTACTAAACTACTCTGCCAAAGGTACGCCTTGAGGTAATAAAAAACTCAAAAAATAAAGTCCATGAGTTTGAAATCCCACTATAGTAAGCCGAATAAAAAGAGATAATGAAAGACCAAAGGTGACCACAAAATGACTTGTCACTGTAAAATTATAAAGAATCATGCCAATAAGATTACAATAAAGAAAAAAAGTAAAAGTGACAAAAGTGAAAGGAAAAAATCGTTGTTTAATTGCTGGTACACCACTATTTATGAACCCCGCTTTTCCGCTTATTCACAGGACTTCAGACCGGGACGTAGTGTTCGAGGTCGACGACGGCTTCAAGGCAGGGCACGAATCACGACGAGCGGCAGCAATGTCGAGCGCGACTGTGGATGGCGAAGTCGGGCGCGTCGGGCACGCTTTGAGGGGGGAAAGGCAGCTTTCACTTTCGAATTCCAACACGATTACCGGGCGCGAAAGGAGGCAGGGGGGAGAACGCCCTTCACAAAAAAACAAAAAAAAACAAAAAAAAAACAAGGCCTACACGCCTGTGATGTGTGTGGGGAGGCCGCCTGCCCCCGCTGAGGCCCTCCTGACCCCCCGCGCAAAAATATGCAAGGCCCGCCCGACATTGCTTGTAGTGATGCGGCGAAAACCCCCGAATTTTGGGCCTTCCAGTTACCGCGTGTCCAACGGCAATGGCAGCAATAATAGCAACAACATCAACCACAATTCAAAAGGAAAAAAACAGCAACATCGGCAACAATAGCAACAAAAGCAACAAAAACAACCATAGGTACATGCCAGTAATATTCGATCATTTCGATGTATTAGGTGATGTAGTGTGTGGTGGATTTACCGCACCGCTTTAAGTTATTGTATAACAGTTACTGAGAACGGCTTTGCCGTACTATTTGCTGCAAGCAGGATTGCTGCTGCGTCAGTGCAAGGAAAAAGTTTGTACGAAGGGATGGTGACGAGATGATCGATATCGTATAGATAAATGTGTACAAGCTTTTCCTCGCATTGATGCAGCAATCCTATTTGCAGCAAATAGTACGTTGAACAGTGTTAAAATCCAGGCCGCCCGGCGGCCTGGCCTTCGGCCGGTGGGGGTCCCGGGCGGCCCGGCTGGTTTGGTCCCCCGGTTGAACGTCGGGGGGGAACACGCGGTTAATGGAAGGCCCAAAATTCGGGGGTTTTCGCCGCAGCACTACAAGCAATGTCGTTGAAACTTTTGCAAACAAACTATGCAGGGTCCTAATACAAACATTAAAAAACAAACAGGAAAAAAAAAATAAATAAATGAACAGCACTATAAAACCCTGTTCGAAGTAGCAAAAAAAAGCAAAAACTCAGGGAAATATGGCAGTTTCGATGAAAACTTCACCGAAAATGACACCACCTATTAACCACGAGTGAGGGAGAGGGAGGACGTACAGGACCACTGACGTCCATGGGCTGCGAACTTAAAAACCACTGGCAAAGAGAAGACAACAAACTTTGAATTAGGGTTGGGCTCCACTGCGGTTCTTCAAGGAAAGTCCTCGAAGAATTGCGGGCTCCACCGCTGTTTTCACATTTCCAACTTTCCACCCTTTTGTGTAGTCCGCCTCCGATCTCTGAAATCCGAAGTCGTCCATGAATCACCGTGTTCCAATGCGGATTCGTCGGTTCTTAACTTGGGACTACGCCAGCCGAGTATCGTTTCCCAAGAATTCCCTTAAACCACTAGGTACTACCTTGCCGCGTGGGAAAATAGCGGGCCTCGGGCAGGCCTCCGACCTTTTCGGGCCACAATTCTGGGCCCAGTAAAAATGAAGAACACAAATTTTCCATGTTGCCCATTTCCACAATACCCCTGAAAGGGCCCGTAGGTGGAGCCCCTCAAACTATTAGCGAAAGTCTCCGAAGAACATCGCTGGAGCACCACCCTTGGACAAAAACAATTGTAAATCAATAGTTGACGTCTTCGGATAACGAACAGATCGAAGCCTTGCTTTAAACCACCACTACCTTTCACAGGCAATCGCGAAGTCCATCTAGTAGCCTACTTGTCAGAGTCTGACGACTCGGGGCAGGCACGGCAGAGGTTTCTGAAAACGAAAAAAGAAAGAAGAAAATAAAAATAGGGAAAATAACTAAAGAAATTTGAATCCAGCGATGCCGGGGAAGGCCCTCACGGAGGTGGAAGTCCACCAGCGCTTTGAGGAATGTATCTGGCCTTCATGTGCGAAACGGGGTTGATATAGTTTTCATTTTTTCACTTTCTTTGCAAGTAGTTCTGGTGCCCTGCCAGCGAGGCAGGGCGTATTGCACATGGGGATATAGCTGCCTCACTTCATAGTGCTCACAGTACGGTCGTACTGTCGCATCCTGAATCGAACCGGAATCATGGCATAAGGGATGCCTTTTTTCCTTTTGTTTTTGTTTGTTGTTCAGCGGACAGACACCCTCATTGAGGGCGCAGTCACACTGACACTTAGTAAAATGCATCTGCTGGTTATCACGGCATTAGGGACCTCCTTTTTCCTTCTTCTTCTTTCACTTTTTTTCTCCTTTCAGGTATGCAACTGCCCAGGCTCGGCAAAACTCGTTTCCCAGTGAACGTCTGGTTCGGTGAAAACAGGATTTGAGATAGTAGTGGTTAAAAAAAACACAAAAAAAAGCAAACAAAAACGTCTTCGGATAAAAAGTATTTCAAAACTCGTATTGGGGTTGTTGTTGCTGGTGTTGCTGAAAGGAAAAAGAGGGATGGGCAGCGGTGGGAGGAGGGGGAGAAGTGCTGGCACTTTCAAGGGGGGGGGATCTGAGACTAGCTTCAAAGTTCAAACCCAAAATCGAAAGTCCCCGAACAGCTTTGGAATATACAGCTTAAACCACCAGTACTTCCTCAAGTCATGTAGCGTTAACGCTGCGCGATTTTCGGAAACGTACGGGCCACTACAGGAGCGCCCAAATTCATCCAACTAGAAACATTTCTACTCTATTTTTTTCCGCGGCCCATAGCTGGGCCAAGCACTGGTGGTTTAACCAAGGCTAAGCAGCCAAATGAAGGGTCACACATCTTTTCAATTCACAATGCACAGCACTTGATCGGACCCACCGACCCATTTCCCTGGCCCTGGTACGTTCGTTGTTCCAACGGGCTGGCGAACGTGCCACAAAATCCCAAGTCGGGGCTACCGAAGGGGAGGGAAAAGGCTGGCAGCACATGGCAAGATCACGCCCGCAACATTTCCTTTCCTTTCTTCAGGGCTGGGCATCGGAAAAGAGAGGCTTGGAGAACTGGTTATTTAAGGGTATGTACTTTTTCAAGGTTTTTTTTTTTTAATTACGAATTGTTTTTTTCTTTTTTTTTGACAGAAAACGGAGCAAATTACGAATTGTGGTTGACGAGAAAAGCATTGATTGCCCCTCAAACGAGGGGATGAACTGCTCATCAGACTGCACGCTGGCGGAAAAAAGAGAGAAGGATGCACAGAGTGTGTGCTATTAGGAAGACAGGGACGCACAAGTTAACACAATTGTGATGATGTCTACTCGTCACATCCTCGGGCGAGGTCCCACTAGGGAAAGTTGATTGAACTATGCGCCCGTTTGTGCGGTGATGCATAAAAGCAGATCAACCGTCAAGACTCAGGCGATAAATCCAATCCAATCCTCTTTGGGAGCGGGACCAGCAGGACCTCGCCCCTGGAGCTGGAGAGAAAAAGTGGAAACTTACTTACAGTTAAAAGTTAACTGTTAAAGTTAACTGTTAACTGTTAAAGTTAATTGCTAAAATAGAAGTTAACTGTGAAAGTTAACTGTTAACTGTTAAAGTTAACTGTTAACGTAGAGGTTAACTGTTAAAGTTTACTGTTAAAGTTAACTGTTAAACATAATAAACGAGCGAGCTCAAGTCCCGAAGAGGATGCAAACACAGCTTTTGGTCACATGGTCGTCAAACTAGACCGATGGTTGCGGAGCTGGAACGCAGCTGCACAACCTTTAGCAATCATACAGAGTCCGTTCGTTTGACATGTCTTTTCCATTTCCTTTTTTTTTTGTTCTGGCTCAACGCATCAGGTAACATGTACTTCGCACGCCACACTAATGAAGAACTCAAATGACACAAAACTGAAGCAATATCCTTAAATAAATAATAACGATGGTGTTCTGAAGTAAGTTAACATTGTACTTCGCACGCCACACTAATGAAGAACTCAAATGACACAATGGAAGCAATATCCTTAAATAAATAATAATGATCGTGTTCTGAAGTAAGTTAACATTCATATTATGAAGTAACATGAACATCGAAAGTCGCTAACTGTCCAGCTACCACAGCACCAGAGTGTGCTGAGCTGTGCCGTGCCGTGTCTTTTCACCTCCTTCACCTTGCCATAGCCTGCCAGTGCTTAGCATATGCACCTGCATATAAGTCTCAAGCAAGCGAACACCTCAAGCCAGAGAGAGAGAGAGAGAGAGAGAGA